GGTCTCCGCAGCCGACCCGCGAGGGAGCAGAGCCCCGGCGGTGCGCCCCGGCCCGGCTGCGCCAGCATGTCCTCGACGGAGAGCTCGGGCCGCACCGCGGACAAGTCTCCGCGCCAGCAGGTACTCTCGGCGTGCCCCTGGGCTCCCTCGTCGCCCGCTCTCCCCTAGGTGTCCTGCCTGACCCTTATTCTGCTCCCTGACCCTGTTGTAAGTGGGAAGAGGAGGACCAGGGCTTTCCCGGGTCCCCCACTGCCCTGACCCCTGGCTGGCTCTGTCTCTGCAGGTGGATCAACTGCTCGTCGGGCTGCGCTGGCGGCGGCTGGAGGAGCCGCTGGGCTTCATCAAAGTCCTCCAGTGGGTGAGTCGCTGCCTCAGCCCTGGGCTATTTCGGGAGCCTGGACTGTGACGCTGACCCTAAGCAATGTGGCCCGGGTGGGGGCAGGGGAGGTGCTTCGGGCCCGCCTCGGCGGAAGAGTCGGGGGCGGCGACAGGTGGGCGGGGGAGGGGCGGGCTCCCGCTGCCGCTCCCGCACTTAGTGGCAAGAGGGTGAGGAGCGAGGCTTGCCGAGTCCGGATTCGGTCCTTCTATGTGCAAGGAGTCTTTGCCCAGGGCGCTCACATTTCACTCGGGCGAGAGGACCTGGGTGTAACCTTTCCAGAATTCTGATCCTGCACATACCACTCCTCGGTGGCAGGAGGGGGAAGGAGGATGAGGGAGACGAGATCCGCTCTTCTCCACGAGGGAAGCCACGGAGGGCAAAGGAAGAAGGAGGCAGGCAGGCGACAAAAACCATTCTGTCCCTAAACCCCTCAGGACCTGGATGATCTTGAGGATGGACTCACGGGACAGGCTCTGGCTGGTGATTCCCTGCGGGGATCCCTGGAGTAATCTGGATTCCTGTAACTGACTGAGAGAACGGATGCAGGAATGAATGGAGCTCCTGGCTCTTGCATTAAATAAAAGAGAAAAAAGACAACCACAACATAGCCAGAATATGGTGTTCACAGAATAAGATAGAACATTGATCTAGGAGTTGTGGGCCTGGGTTCTAAACCTGGACCTGCTTTTCCCGGCTGTGTGACCTTGGGTAAGTCACTTCTCTGGAGTTTGGTTTCCAAGGTTAGTCTAATGATGATCAGATCATAACTAGGGTCCTCTTATGCTCTAAATAGGTTGGCATGCTAGAATATAGCCCTGCATTAGACTTGCCCTGTGACCTTGAAAAAAATCACTTGCCCAGGTCCTCTGTTTCTTCGTTGTGGTCGAGTAGAAATACCAACTCCTTGCTTCACTGGTACTTGGAGACAGTGGTATGCTCTTTATTATTCCCAATATCCAAGGCCTTCTAGGTGAAAATTAGGAACGTGAGTGGGTACAGTCACTTTTTCATATCATTAAGACTAGTTGGGGGACTTTTAGTGCATGATGACAAAAAAGATTTTAAGTTAGACGATCCGCACACCAAATGGTGTGTGCGTAACTTAATTAATGTGCCCTCAGCTGGGGAATAAGTTGCCGTGAATACTGAAGACGATTGAGTTCTAAAGGGTATGGAACTCGCCAGAGACAGGAGTTCACCTTGGGTCACCAATTCCCAAGTCATGGTTTGGATGACAATAATCACATCTGGAATTTGGAGGCCATATTTCATTTGGGATTATTTTAGATATGTGGAACCCGAATTGGGGCTACCGGTGAGCCTAGGGAGTTCCCAAGTACAAACTCTGGGATCTGCTGGGGACTTTCCACTCTCCCTACTGCCTCAAGAGCAGTTGGACCAACTGCTGACTGAGCTTTTTCACCTCCGCCACTGCTGTGTTCTGACTCACTACTTGGGTACCAGAGGGGGCCTAGAAGAATGATAGTAGGGCTCCGCGTGACTAGCATTCAGAACTAAGAGAGCCATTATGAACCATCCAGAGGAACACAACCTGAAATGTAAGACAATTTTATCATTAAACTACACAAATGGACCTAATGGAAACTTGAGCCGGACTGTCAAGGGATGAGAGAAACAATAAGGTTATTAGCCCGTGGACTCCTCTTCCCTGAGGAATTCTGAGAAGCTTCCTTCTTCCATCTGCTGTTCTTTCCTCCCTTTCCTAATACCCACATTTTTACAAAGGCTGCACAAAGCATCGCAAAGAGAATGATGCAGGCTCCTCACAGGGTCCACACTGATGCCCTAAGAATTAAGACCTGTTTGACTAGTAGAATCCTTCACTTCTTAGAGAAGGGGTTATGCAAAACAGAGAGCACTGAGCTTTCTCTCACAGTGCTAAATCCAGAAGCCTGGCTAAAGTCATAACTCAGCTTTCATTCACAAAAAAGACGTAAAAAGACATGATTCGCTTTTACTGCCATCCATCCCAGATCGTCTGAATCTGGGGAGCGTTTCACTTGCTTTGAGTCTCTGCAGATAAACTAACATAAAAGTACACAGGGATCAGGCCAACAGGTGGTCTGGTGGTTAAAAGCACTAGACTCCCACATAAACAACCACGGTTCAAGTCCTGGACCTGGTGGCTTGCTTTCTCACTTTCTTTCTCTCTCTGTCTCTGGTGAGTGCATGTGTCTTGTAGCAAGTTAAAAAATAATAATGACAAGTAAAATTATATAAATAATTCTTTTAAAAAATTACCTGGGAACCAACACCAGAAATGACAGTGGAAATGTCATTTGTTTTTTTCATTCCTTTTTTTTTCTTGAAGGGATCAAATGTCCCTGACTAGAGAAGAGAGAAAAAAGAAAGGAAGGAAGGAAGGAAGGAAACACATCTTGCAGTTATTCTAATGTTAATTGGATTTTTAAAATTGTCTTTATTACCAAAACTCAAAGGTTTTACTGGAATCTGTGAAAGCAGGAAGTCATGTTATTCTTTTATTCGTTAGGAACTTAGTGTAGAATGTCTTTTTATTTGAAATTCAGAAATTAACTAATATCAATTTCAATTTTGGCATCTCGCTATGTTTATACTAAGCTAGTGAAATAACCTGGACATAGACCAATTATCGAGAACTCTTTTTTTAAAAAGGTTGGCTTCAGTCTTTGGTTTAAATTCTATCTTCTGGAGCCAGTAGGTGGCATAGTGCTTAAGGTGCTGGATTCCCATATGGCCAACTGCAGTTTGAGCCCCAGAACCTGGCGACTTGAAATTCATGCTGGGCACATGTCCATGCATGCCCAAAATCCCAAAATCACTCCCACCTGGGGAGTGATTTCTTGCTTTCTGTCTCTCTGGCAGGAGCACATGCCTTATTAGCAAAAACCTCTCTAAATAAATAAATAAATAAATAAATAAATACATTCTGTCTCCTCTGCTTTCTAGCCTTGGAACTTTGGGTAAGTGATGTAATCATTTTTTAAAAAATAATTATTTAATTTAATTTATTTATTTTTAATTTGACTAGAGAGGCAGAGCGAGTGAGAGAGAGTGAGAGAGAGAGAGAGGAAGTGAGCAAGCAAGTTGCCGGGTCTGTTACTCAAACCATGTTTGGTCATGTGGGAGTCCAGCACCCTTAACCGCCACGCCACCTGCCGGCCTGCTGATACAATCTTTACAGGCCTTAGTTTCCTTATCTGTAAACGAGGGTCGGACCTATTTTATCGGCTCACTGGGAGAATTACAGGAAGTAGAATCCGTGAAGTATAGAGCATTCAGGAAGATCAAGGTGAGCCTGCCACTGATGAAGGTATTCAGTAAGTGTTGGTTTCCCTCCTTCCTATTCCCAAACCTTCCTTTTTCCTGATTCTCTCCCTGCTTGTGAAGACTGTCCACCTAGAGTTGTCTTTTGGTGAGATTGTTCGAATGGCTCTGCCAAATTTGATGTAAGTTACAAAAGAATCTCTGGGTGATTCAGTCACTGTTCCCACTTGTTTATAAATAAGTCATATCACCTTTCATGGGGTGTGCCTCATTCATTTATTCACCTTTTGGGGTGCCACTCATTTATCTGACTTTGGGGTACATGTAATGAAGATCAATCACTTCAGTAAGTGTGGGAAACTTGAAGGACTCCATTAGAGTCCACAAAACCAACGTGATGATCGTGGGAGTGGGATTTGGGGAGAGAACCGGTCTTCCTTGTGCCTTCCCCTAACTGGTGATTTAGTGTTCTAAGACCGACCAGCAAGCAGTGAGCCTCATCCTTCAACTGAGAAGGTTACTCTGACCTCTTTACGAAAGAGATACAAATTTAGGGGGAGGAGGAGTTGCAGGGCAGAGTATAACCACGGCAGTCCTCTGTAGTGGAGAGCCAAGAGCAAGAAGCCTGGCATCAGAACTCCAGAAATCCCCTGGCCTTAGGGCCTCCATTTCTCCTTGGCCACTGTTCTTTATGATCAGTATGCTCATCTCAGACCCTTGTATATGGTGAGGGGCTAGTTTCCGTTTTCTCCTTGTCTCCCTTATGGCTCAGTCACCTGGCACAGTGAGGGAAGAAAACACCTCCAGTGTGGAGGTGGAGGGATAGAAGGTGTGGAGGGGCTGAGTGAAGCTACCGTCCTCTGTTTCTGCCCCCGAGAGCACAGAGTCATTTCCTCTTTTTTGTAATCCTCTCTGCACATAGCGTAGGTGTCCTCCTTAGCCTTAATGACTCTGTGATGCCGGCTTCTGTCTTCATCACTTGTTGGTTTGTGTTAACATGACACACCTTTCTTGATGGGAGATCTTGAGAGGAGGAGCCAGGTCTTATTTGTCTTCCTATCTCTAGCGCTTGGCCCAAGGTCCATGGCCAGTAAGTGTTGAGTTAATGAATGAAGGAAATGGAAAGGCCACTGGATGGGGAGTCAAGGTGTGGCTCTCACGTTAGCTAAATGTGACGTAGGGCAAATCACTTAACCTTTTGGGGTTTTGTTTTTCACCTCTGTGAAATGAGACTGGTGGGCTAGATCATCTCCAAGACCATTGTTCTGTGCTCTGTGAAACTGTGAGAATGTCCTCAGAGGTTCTCATTATCCAATGACACGGCAAACTGTCTACTCTCCAGCACCATCTGACTGTGGTGTTTAGACTTAAACCTGCATTCTGGTAAATAAAAACATCATATGAGATGTCGAGAGATTCCTGACTTTCAAAGAATCAGAAAAATAGAATTAATATTAAAGTTATTATGAATTAATATTAAATTAATAGATTAATATTAATATTACTATGGGTATATTTTACCATCTGAAGAGTCAGGAAGCAGGGTTTAGAATTTTCAGACTCTCAAGGTCCTCATTTAGACATTGCAGAATTTGTTTTTGGTGATGCTATCCAGCATAGAACCTTCTAGTCACCTGTGGTTATTGAGCACTTGAAATGTGAGTAGTACTGGGGCCAGCAGGTGGCGTGGTGGTTAAGGTGCTAGACTGGCACGTGGTCGACCGCATTTCGAGTCCTGGACCTGGCAGCTTGAAACACACTAGGTACATGTGCACGTGTGCCCCAAATCCCAAGAAGAGCATGGAGGAGAAGGGACTGTGGTATGGTCATGCCCCCTGTGGGGTAATATCTCACTATCTCTCAAGAGACAGAGTATAGTATACATGCTCTATACTAAAAGTCTCTAAAAAAGAAAAAAGAAATGTGGCTGGTATGTCTAAGTTACTGAATTTTAAAATTTAAATAATTCATTGATTTTAACGAATTTAAATATAGGTAGCTAGGCTCCTAGTGGCTATTGTTTTGGACAGTGCAGCTTTAGAGTATGAGCTCCTCCTTCGTTCACTGCTAAATAATGGTGCCTAGGATAGTGTCTGGTCCATGGTAGGTGCTCAGTGAATGGCCTCTATCTGTAGAAGTTCAAGGCTGCTTGTAAGAGAGTTCTCATGGAAAGGTTTTATTACTGACCATTTGCTACCCCAAGTTAGGCATACCTGCTTTCTTAGGAAACCCGTAAGGAGCCACACACTGGGTAAAAATATGTCCAACTGTGCTGCCCTTCCTAGACTGACACCCTTAATTGTGTCCAGATCTGGGCATCAGAGGCTGAGAGGAACCAAAGAGCTACAGAGCCAACAAGTGATTAGACAAGTCCTATGAGTAAGAGCTAGAGAAATCCCCATGTCATGCCGGTGAGGCACCTTTGTGTCGGGGCCTCCATGCAGAGGTTTTGAGGGACTTCACTCAAGTTCTGTCGAGTAAGTGAGCAGGTAGGGCTTCCCTGAAGCGTCTATGGTTTAATTCAGATAAGGAGGTTACTTAGGCATAGGCACGTACTGTCTCATTTCCTGGATGTCTCTACGAATGGGCCAATTCTCATTTATCTAGAATCAATCTGCAGGAAACGGAGAGGTGCCCATTATGACCTTTAGAGAGAGGTCAGTGGCTACGGCGTGGAGCTCTGCCAGGCAGGCCAGGCAGGGCAGTGGCACCGGACACCACTCGGGGCAGATCACAGCTGTTGGCAATCCCAGCCAAGAAGCACACACTGATAGCATTACCCTCGGAGTGAGAGAATTCTAGAGCTGAAAAAGGCCTCTCGCTTATCTACTCCAAACTCCTCATTTAAAAAAAAAAAAAAGATTTATTCAGTCTTATTTATTCAGTCAGTCATTTTCATTTGACCAGAGAAAGACAGGCACACAGAGACAAGGAAAATGAGAAAGCAAGCCACTAGGTCTGAGACTCAAACTGTGGTCAGCCATGTGGGAGTGTCCAGCGCCTTAACCACCATGCCACCTGCTGACCCCAAACCCCTCATTTTATAGATGAGGAAACTGAGTCTCAGAGAGTTGGGTGACTTATCAGAGGTCTCCTGACTAATTAGTGACAGGACCAATCCAGGTCTCTTTCATTCCATGAAGCATTAGCAAAATAGCATGTGTACAGAGCTGGCTGAAGAAGCTATGCAACTATGTCCTAGCCAATGAGATGGAAGTACAACCCATGGTCTCTCTCTCTCTCTCTTTAAGTATATTTCTTCCTCCAACCAGATCTTCATGCCACAATCCATCCCCAGTCAGCTTGCCTAGGTCACCAGCCTAGTGGCTAAGAGAGGTGGATTCCCCATAGCTGACCACACAGTTTGACTCCTCACGCTGGTGGCTTAGAAAGCATGCTGGGCACCTGGGCCCCAAATCTGATAGATGTCGAAATGGGATAGAAGAGATTGTGATGTGACTATGACCCACTGGGAGTTGCTTTTTCCCTCTCCCTGTTCTCTGTCTTTCTCTGGAAAGTGCACCCACAATCTGGCAGAAAAAAAAATTCTTTTTGGAGAGGTTTTTGTTATAGGATGCGTGCGCTCTCCAGAAAGACAGAGAAAGACAGAGAGACAGAAAGCGAGAAATCACCCCCCAGGGGGGATGGCCACCCCACAATCCTTTCTCCTCCATTCTCCTCTCGGGATCTTAGGCATGCATGCAAATGCACCCAGTGTTAAGCCACTGGGTCCGGGACTTGAACTGTGGTCGATTACATGGGAGTCCAGCAACATAGCCATTACACCAACTGCTGGTTCACAGAAAAAAAATTTTTTTGAGGGATTTTTGCTATATGTCATGTGCGCTTGCCAGAGAGACAGAGACAGAGTGAGAACTCACCCCCCAGGGGAAAGGCCAAGCCACAATCCCTTCTCCTCCATTCACCTTTTGGAATTCTAGGCATGCATGCACATCTGCCTGGTGTGAGTTTCAAGTTGCCGGATCCAGAATGCAAACTGCAGTCGGCCATGTGGGAGTCCAGCAACATAACCATTATGCCATGTGTTCATCCCATCTGGCAGAAAAAATTTTTTTTTTTTTGGAGAGGATTTTGCTATAGGGCGCATACGCTCGCCAGACAGACAGAGAGAGACATAGAGACAGAAAGCGAGAATTCACCCCCCAGGGGGGATGGTCACGCCGCAATCCCTTCTCCTCCATTCTCCTTTCGGGATCTTGGGCATGCATGCACACGCGCCCAGCGTGAGTTCTAAGCCACTGGGTCCAGGACGCAAACTGTGGTCGACTACGTGGGAGCCCAGCGACATAGCCATTACGCTAACTGCTGGTTCCCTGGCAGAAAATTTGAAAAAAATGTGTACCACTCTATTCTAGATTCTGGATGCAGGACTGGGGTGTAGATTAGCTGTCTTTTAGGTGGTTAATGTCCAAGACACTGAATTACAGAGAAACATACAAAAATGAACAATAATAGGATCAGCAAATGATGTAATGGTTACATTGCTGGATTCCCACCTGGTCGATCACTGTTCAAGTCTTGGACCCAGCAACTTAAAACTCACGCTGGGCACATGTGTGTGTGTGTGTGTGCCAAGAATTTCAAGAGGAGAATGGAGGAGAAGGGATTGCGTGTGGCCATCCCCTCTGGAGGGTGATTTCTTGCTTTCTGTCTCTCTGTCTCTGTCTCTCTGCCTCTCTCTCTCTCTTTCTCTCTCCGGCAAGTGCACGCACCCTATATCAAAAATCTCTCTCTGAAGGAAAAAAAAAGGAACAATGAACAGAATAGACTCACTGTGCCTGAGGAGTTCCTGTAGGAGGTTAAGAGATTATAGTTTCTCACCTCCTTTTCTGACCAAAGTACATTTCCCAGAAAGAAATGTGAAAAATCATAGGATGAGGAAATTTCATTTTACCAAGACAGGAGATATAGTCAAATGTGCTGAAAGGAGAGCAGAGAGCAGTTCAAGTGATCAGAAACACCTCTGGTTCTTGGCACTGAACAATGGCAGTGTCAACAGATTACAAAGGAAAACATCAGTGGTGAAAGAGTGGAGGCTGATAACGCAAGTGGACGGTACTTTTTTCTGGGCTTGAGCCAGGACTGTCAGCAGTGTTGCTGGAAGGTAATGTGTCTCTAGTGGAAGAGAATTGAGATTGATAGTACCCTGGGACATCAGCATGGTCCCTCCAAAAGCTTAGTAGAAGTTATCCTATCCAGGGGCTGGCAAGTGGTATAGTGGTTAAGGTACTGGACTCCCACATGGCCGATCACAGTTTGAGTCCTAGACCTGGTGACTTGCTTTTTCACTTTCCCTTTCTGTCTCTCTCTGGTCAAATTAAAGTAATAATAATAACAAATAAAATAAATATGTATTTTTAGAAGTTATCCTCTCCAGCTAAACCTCTACCGAGACAAGAACCCACTGGGAATTAGCAACAAGGTAAGGAAAAGATTTTAGGACTGGTTCAAAGGAGAAATGAAAAGCATTCCAGCTATACCTGACCTAGGCTGGTACAAGAGAATCTATTTCTAGGGTGTCTCTTCTTTGGGAAGGAAATTCAAGTCTAACTTTGAGCTAACACGTTTCCAAATGCCTGAATTGCAGAGGCTTTACGTTAGTCATCATCTTAAGGAAGCCACTTATGATCCCCAATGCCATGATCAATGGAAGACCTGGACACTGTCCATTTCCTCTCTTTTCATCTCTCTCTCTTAGACACTACTCAAAGTCAACCTTATTCACTTGACTATTTGGCCCAGCACCTTGTGCAATGAAAATAGCATTCTGAGGCTGGAAGACAAATGGAAGCCATGGATCCCTGCCCAGGAGGAACTTGATTAAAGGGAATCCTTACTCCTCCCACCCCTACCCTCAAATATGCACCTGCTGGGAGTCAGAGGCAGGTCTTTACCTTGGCCAGTAGAAGCCTTCTGACTCTCAAAGGGCTTCACTCTCTCTCAGCTCTTTGCTATTTTCGCCTTCGGGTCCTGCGGCTCCTACAGCGGGGAGACAGGAGCAACGGTTCGCTGCAACAACGAAGCCAAGGACGTGAGCGCCATCATTGTTTCGTTCGGCTATCCCTTCAGGTGAGCAGGGATGGGAGGTGACCTGGCACAGCTTCTCACTAGCTGGACAAGACCTGCTTGATCCCATTCACCTCCAGAAACCTAAAGACCATTTATTGTGAGCTATTCCAGATTCCAAAAAGACATGGGTCCTTTCTGCCCTTTAGCAATTTCAGGCACACTAGCCAGAGAAAAACATAAGAGAAATACAGATCATCGTGTTAATAATAATTGTGATAATAGGGTTCCACTCCACCGCTGGACAATAGCAGGTCACAACAGCTCGTACAGAAAGAACCCGTGCGGTTTGGGATGGAGGCTTAAAGGAGTCTGTGCAAGTCCAACAGGCCTTTTTGACCCTCTGTAGCCTCCTCTCTGCCTTGAAGGAAGGAAGCTTGTTAACCCTTAGATCTTAAAAAGCTGATGTAGGATGCTCCCCTGGCACCACCAGAATACCAGGAGGCACACCTTGACTGGAAAGTATAAGACAAGACTTTCCTGGGTATTTGAGAGCTTAGGAAAGGAGGAGCCCAAGCATTTAGAAGAAAATGGGAACAGGGTTGACCTTTTCAGAAATGTCTAGTATCAGCCCCCAAGTGAGAAGAACTATTTCTGGTATATAATAGACTGTTTTTCTACTTTGTCCAATATAATGGGTCATCAGGAAAGTCCTGATGCATTTTTGCATTAACAAGAAAAAAAAAAAAAAAACAGGGACCAGCAGTTAGTGTAATGGCTATGTTGCTGAACTCCCATGCAGTCGACCGCGATTGGAGTCCTGGACCCAGTGGCTTAAACTCACGCCGGGCGCATGTGCATGCCCAAGATCCTGAGAGGAGAATGGAAGAGAAGGGATTGCACCGTGGCCATCCCCCCGGGGCGTTATTTCTGGCTTTCTATCTCTCTGTCTTTCTGGCGAGCGCATGCACCCTATAGCAAAAACCTCTCAAAAACAAAAACAAAAACAAAACTACCTGATGACTTTCCCAATGACCTAATAGTTTCATTGAGAAGCTTAAGCAAGGCCTGAGAATAGGTGGTTCTGACTTTAACTTGACCACTGGGGCCTGTGTTTTTTTATAGGGAAAAATGAAATTGATCTGTGTAGCAGTCTGGAAACCAGAACTAGGACTATAAGATGGGGACTTCAAAAAGCTTGTGGAGGGCCAGCCTGTGGCATGATAGGACGCCGAATCTCACATTGCTGACTGCGCAGCCTGGAGGCTTGAAAAACATGCTAGGCATGTGTGTATACATGCGTGCCAAAAATTCTGAGAGGAGAATGGAGAAGGGATTGCAGCATGGCCACCACCCTACTGGAGTGATTTCTCACTTTCTCCCTCTTTCGTCTCCTCTCTCTGGGAAGCACACATACCCTATAGCAAAAAATACTTTAAAAATATGCAAAAAGGAATTAAAGTATAAGTTCATTATGGTGCTTTTTAAAATTTTATTTATTTATTTATTTTAGTTTCTTGCATAGTATTTTTCATAGCACACATTTTCCATGAACTCTTTGAAGTCCCCTTGTATCAATACAGTGCGGTTGTGACCTAAGGGCCCCTGGAGATACTTGGAAATACACAGTCACTGCATCTGGGCAGGGTGGAAGTGTGTAGGGTGGCAGCTGAGGGGAGGCAGGGTTTGACTGGAATCTCAGGAAAACTTCCATCTTGACTGCAAGGTTTCCTCCAGAAATGTTCCTCCCTCTGTGACCCCCTTTCTTTTTCTTTTTTGTTAAAATTTAATTAATTAATTAATTAATTAATTATTATTCAATTTGACCAGAGTGAGACAGATTGAAAGACAAAAAGAGAGTGATAGTGAGAAAGCAAGCCACCGGGTCTGGGACTTGAGCTGTGGTCAGCCATGTGGGAATCCAGCGTCTTAACCACCATGCCACTTACTGGCCTGCAACCCCCTTCTTGGCTCTGGGAGAGTTCTAGGATGAGCCCTCGCATAACACTGCCCCTGGGGCAGAGAAGAAAGCTCCTCTGAGCTCAGGATGGCCTCCCCTGCCACCTGCAGGTTGCACCGGGTCCAGTATGAGATGCCACTCTGCGACGAGGAATCCACCTCCAAGACCATGCACCTCATGGGTGACTTCTCCGCCCCTGCCGAGTTCTTTGTGACTCTTGGAATCTTTTCCTTCTTCTATACCATGGCTGCCCTAGTCCTCTACCTGCGGTTCCATAACCTCTACACAGAGAACAAGCGCTTCCCACTGGTGGTGAGTGAGCGCTGGCCGGAGGAATGTGGTGGAGAAACAGGAGACATCTGTTAGGAGCTGAGCTCAGAACTGGGGTGGGGGGGGACAAACATGATGGTTTTCCTGGGTCTCTGCCTCTAGCAACCTCCCATTGCTTGCTCTGCTCACAGGATGCACAACAGCATAAAGAAGCAGGCTCTGGAGTTAGACTGCTTGGGTTCAAATCCTAGCACCGCCTTTCCTAGCTTTGTGACCTTGGACAAGTTAGTTAGCCTCTCTAAGCCTCAGTTTCCACCTATAAAACAAGGATAAAATAATGCCTGCCTCAGTGTTTTTCGACAATAAAATGCAAATGCATGTAAGGTACCTAATATATAGTTTGCCTCAATGAATGTTGGCTATTATTATTATTCCCCTTTACTCTCTCTCAATCCCAGGCATGCAAAATAGAAGGGATGCCTTAGGAGATTCCATTTGCTTCCTGCAGTCTGCCCTCTGCCACCACTTTTAGCTGAGTGATGGAGATGCAAGGAGCAGCTGGGAGGAACGAAGCGAGTGTTTAGGCCAGTTGGTTTTTGGGGGGAGCCTGACCAGCAGATGCCTTGGTACATTGTTGCCTGGGCAGTCTGAGTGGCAGGATTTCTGCACAGAGTCCGATCTGGGCCCCCTGAAGCTCTGGGTGTTGTTGGGTAGAATGGGAAGAGGCAGTTGTACTGGGACCTCAGGATTCTAGTGTACTGTGGCTAGAGAAAAAAAGTGGGGCATCATGGAGCCTTTCTGAGTGTCTTTCCCAACCCTCTGCTCCTCCCAGGACTTCTGTGTGACTGTCTCCTTCACCTTCTTCTGGCTGGTAGCTGCAGCTGCTTGGGGCAAAGGGCTGACCGATGTCAAGGGGGCCACAGGGCCATCCAGCCTGACCGCAGCCATGTCCGTGTGCCATGGAGAGGAAGCAGTGTGCAGTGCTGGGGCCACGCCCTCCCTGGGGCTGGCCAACATCTCTGTGGTGAGACCTGCCGCCATAGAGGGGTGGAGGGAAGGCAGCACTAATCCAGCTACCCAGGCCTGGGGTATCCCAGCTAGCAAGTCCTGAGAGGAACAGGCTCGTTCTCTGCGCTGGTATCCCCTGTACCTGGAGTTGCCCCCTCCTTCCCCCGTGCCTAATACTGGCTCCTGGTTGACTCTGAGAAGACATTTTGGAAAGAGGGAAACCCAAGAGTCACTTAGCCTCCTGTTCTTCTTCCTCTGCATTTTACCTCCCGGTTTTCTTCTTCCCACCCCAGGCATGCTCTCTGTGACTCCTCCCACCCACCCCACCCCCGCCTGCTTTTCATGATGTGTGTGTGTGCGTGTGTGTGTGCGTACACACACGTGCACTTGTGAGCATGTGAAAGGGGTGCCTACAGCTGTGGCTGGGCTCCAAGCTGGGAACAGACCCAGAGTGTGCAAGAAGGGCTCCCTGTCGCTTAGGCCTCCAGGCTGGAAAGGGGGTTGGGCAATGATGAGTCCAGCTGGTATGCACAAGTTTGGCCACCACAACTGTTAAAACAATGAAGTCTGTCCAAACTGGTTGGTAAATAGCCGAAGCCTGGAGCTTCTCAGATGCTCCCTGTTATCCCAGCCGCCTCAACCCTACTCTGAAAATGCCTTGGACTTTCCCAAGGCCCACAACTCCCACATCAGGAAGCCTTCTGGAACTTGCTGGAACCCTGACAATACATTTCCCCTCCCCAACATTTTATTGTAAAAAATTTCACACATACAGCAAAGTCGAAAGAATTTTATGGTGGGGCCAGCCCCATGTCATAGTGGTTAAGTGCAGTGAATTTGATTTCATGACTACAGTTCAAATCCCAGCTCAAGCAGCTTGAAAACATGCTAGGCACATGTGCATGCATCCTCAAAATCCTACTGGGAGGGGAAATGAAGAAAAAGGGATTGCAGCATGCCCCACTGAGGGTGCTTTCGTGCTGTCTGTCTCTCTGTTGAGTGCATGTACCCTCTGGCAACTAAAGAAAAGCAAAAAGAATTTTCATGGTGAACACCTACATACTCACTGCCTAGACTGTGCTATTACCATTTTACTAGCCTTGCTTTATCACATATCTATTTGCCTCCCTTCAGCCATCAATTCATCTTATTTTCAGTGCATTCCAAAGTTAACAGAAGGAATCAATACTCTTCTCCCAAAACTATTTCCTCTTGTTAGCTTTTGAAAAAAGAATTATTTTATTTAACTTTATTTATTATTATTACTATTATTTTTAATTTGACAGAAAGAAAATGAGAAAGACACAGAGAGAGAGAAAGGGAAAGTGAAGCCACCAGGTCTGGGACTCAAACCATGGTCAGCGATGTGGGAGTCCAGCGCCCCTAACCACCATGCCACCTGCTGGCTTCCTCTTGTTAGCTTTCAAAAATATTATTAATAATTATTTTAATATAGTCCGGTCTGGGTCCCTAGTCCTAAAAAAGGAGCACCTTGGACAGCTCCTGCCATAGCCACCCTGCAAAAGGTGTTCCAAGGGTCTTGGTGTGCCGTGGGAAGCATCACCAGCCCCTACTCTTGGCTCTCTGCCGTACTTTGCATGACATGCTATTCAGAGGCTAGACTCTGCTAACGACAAATCCACCTGAGTGCATGCTGTGGACAGAGTGAAAACACTTTCACCAGTGAATCCCTTCATAGGTGATGACTTTGAACCCTGCCTCTATATCCAGTTTTACTAAGCTCTCTGCTTCTACTGCTTTGATGATGTCCCCTCTCTACTTCTACTGTGTCCCCTCTTACTATTCTCACAATTTCCTCTGATGTCTTTGCAGCTCTTCGGCTTTATCAACTTCTTCCTGTGGGCCGGGAACTGTTGGTTTGTGTTCAAGGAGACCCCGTGGCATGGACAGGGCCAGGGCCAGGGCCAGGGCCCCAGCCAAGAGAGTGCAGCTGAGCAGGGAGCAGTGGAGAAGCAGTAAGGAGCTCCCACCTGGCTACTCCCGAACTGGACAGCACCTCTTCAACACCTCCGGCTTCCAGGACCTCCCTCTTCCTCCTCCTCCAACTCCCCTCCCCTATCATTTCTGGGCTTTGAGCTTTGAGACCCAGATGGGCAGGCATCAGCTGTTGGAAAACCTGGGCAGCCCTCTTAGTGGCTTCCTATCCCTCTTCTTGCTGGTGCCCCATATGGCAGGAGTTCAGTGCTTCTTGTCTACTACGTGGACCCAGAAGAGCTATACTTGAGGTCTGACTTTGACCCTGATAACCCTGAAAAACAGCCCCTACTGTGGGTGAGGGTTAGGGGGAGAAGACCAGAGCCCTGAAACTGGTTCCGAGCAGCCACTTTTTATCGATCAGTCCAGCTTCAACAGTAGTGGGAGGAGAGGGGAAATTGACTGGTAGCCCTGGTCCCATGTGTGGAAGGCCCAACAGTGGTTTGATGCCCCTCTGCTCAATGGCTATCATCTAGTCCCCGTGTCTAGTGTCCAGGCAGCCCAGAGCTTAGAGTGCTTCCCACTGCCTTCTCTGGCTTCTACCTGTCCACAGAGTTCACATATGAACCAGGGAGGCTGACTAGCCTAGAAAACAGCCTGGTAGAGGGTCCTGATGAGGCCTGGCCCCAGCAGGGAGCAGATACATTTTAACCGAATTGATTGACACATCAAGAAACCAAAGCCAGGAAACTCACCTGGCAGAATCTGTGTTTTCTATCCCCACAATCCTCCCACCCCTCAGGCTGGGGCACTTCTCCACCAACATTCTAAGCAGTACTCACTCTCGAAACTTTCCTTCTTGTCCTCTTTCTTGGGCTTGGTCTCATACTTGGGACACAAGATGGGAGGTCTAGGAGCATTGCCCTGGCTATCCATCGACCTTCCCCAGCCTCTAGGGTCTGAGGTATTTGAGATCTTTTCTGAAGTCCACCCAGGCCTTCCTTTCATTCCTGTGGGGCCAGAAGGATCTAAAGGACCATCATGAGGTTAAAGTGCCCCAGAGCTCCAGGACATGGATGGACGAGCCCACTTCTTCCTTCCTTGCTGCTCGGTTTTCCCCCTGATCCTTCTCTAGTCCCTTTTCACACTCTCCCTTCTTGTCATTACAAGATGCGCCCTCTCCCTTGGCCTGCTCATTTCTCCCAGGCTCTATCCTCTCCCTAGTCCAGGGCAAGCCGATGCTATTGGTGCTTCTTCACTTCGGGACCGAGTTCCATATTTGTCTTTGGTGTGTTTCCTCTTCCTGACACCTCCTTCAATCCCTCTCTGGACCCCAAGGCCTGAGAGTCAGCGCTGACTGGGTAAGGAGCGCCTGTATCCTACCCAGCTCAAAACACCTCAATCTGCCCTGGCCATATGGCTGCCCAGGGAAAGATGAAGAGGGGAGAATCCAACCATTTTCCAATCCAGTGCCAACAGCGAATCCCAAAGGCGAATGTGCCCTGTGCCAGTCTCTCCTCAGGACTGAGTCAGCCTTCTTCAATTTCCTCACCTCCCTAAATGCCATCCAGAGTAACACATGTATTACTGGGTACCTAGAGGTCAGAACTTTTGACATCAAGCCAATGACCTCCTCTGTGAGTCAGAGTTTCCCTATTTATAGGAGAGGTGTGAGATTGTATCCCCAATTGTCCCAGCATCTTTCATGAAAGAATTAGCTATTTTTGTTTTGTTTTTCAGACTTCAGGGAAGGGATTTGAGGAGGGAAGAAAGGAGATGGGGGTGAGAGTGTTTCTAAGTGTGAAACTTTCTCTCAGTCCTGAATTGTCCCCATGGTTCCTCAAGGCCAAGAGGGGACAGTTTTGCCTATTGCTCCAGAGACACAGAGAACAAAGGGGTACACCTCTATTTTTCTTCAAGCTGGCCCTTGTGGGGGTCTGTGAGCAGCTTCTATGGAAACTTTATTTGAATTCTGTGTCCGTATTTATAATTTATTTGAAATGTGATGGGTAAAGTGTTCTCATGTTCTCTTCAGGCGGCTGAAGTTAGCAATTGGCCCTTCAGCTAGGGGAAGGGGGTGGAGGGAATATTCACTCCTGCGAAGGACTCCTAGCCCAGAACTCTCCCTTGAGCAGAGAAGGTTTTTTTCTCCTCCTCAGGAGGTTAGCTGTTCTTGGCCAGAAGAGCTTTGATTTAGGCTATGGCCTCTCTCTTTATGGCTACCTAAGAGGAAGGGCTACTTCACCTTATTACCTCCAGAGGGCCAGGCTGGGCCAAGTGCCAAGGGCAGGGTTGTCCTCATAGGACACATGTCCCTTCCAACCAGGGCTGGCATCATTGCTTTGCCTGGTGGGGACTTATGTAGCAGAAGGTGTCTGGTTTCTCCAGCTGCTGCAGGAGGCCAACAGGCAGGACATTCGTCCTTCGTCCTAGTAGACTCTGACCCTGCCAGCATGCCCACCCAGGACCTTTCCCAAACATGACTTCCCTCTCTTATCGTGGTCATAAGTCTCCTACTTCCGGGATCGCAGATCAGGGGTGGGGGGAGAATGTTGCATGTCGTTTTCTGGTGCTTGTTATTACACATTTGAATAAACAGTGTTGCGAGCATTTGCCATGAAGGAGTCAAGACTGGAGCCCTTCTGGGGACTTTTTTTTCTTTCTTTTTTTCCTCTCTCTTGCTTTAAGTGTTTGGACAAATACCAGCATTTCTACCAAGATGTCATTTCACGCCTCTCCATTCTGTACCTCGAGCAATATCTGTTGGCTGAGCAGTTGTTCCTGGCAGGCCCCAGTCTGGTGACATCTCCTTTTGGTTGCACCCAGTTTAGTCCAAAGTAACTGGGACTCATTAACAAATTTGGAGCAAATTCCAAAGACAAGAGATAGTGGTTTCCACAATGCTGTTTCCATTTGCTCTCCTACCATCTGTGACCCAAACAAGCTTCCTGTCAGGAGCTGAAGGCCATATGCTTCAGTCTCTTAACTGTAAGGCTCTTGCTGAAACTTGCACCTCTGTCCTCCCTCGGAGAGAGAGTCACATGCCACATTTACATTCCCTACAAACATGCATTTGGTCACAATTTTACATCTAATTTCCACCAGGTTCCTAGACCATCTAGGGGTCATCTGTGGTTTTCAGGTTAAGAGTCTCTGCTCTCAGAGATGATCCTTGAAGTACTTGCACCTTCCTTGGGTGAAAAGGAAAAGAGAGTCTTAGATTCAAAGTCATAGACCTTGACTCATTTGCTGTAAAACTTGGTTTCTCTTTAGCTAAGGGATGAGTATGGGGTGTGGTGTGAAGGACTGAGGAGGGAAAATAGGATTAATATTTCTTTTCTAATGTGATTGGAGGAGAGGCAGACCTTTGTCTCTTGATTGTGTGAGGGTGGGAAGAAATGTTATCAGCTGAGAAGAGGAATGAGATGGATGATTAAGGTAATTTCCAGTCCTTAGCAAGGAAAATGACAGATTCGATGAGAAATCTCCCTATGCTGAGCCTTTGGTAGCAGCCCTTCCAGAAAATATTCATTAGTAAAAGAAGCCAAAGTGATGGATGGAGTCAGGGTCTAGCCAGGCTTTGGAAAGAGGCGGCACAGGGGACCCATTGCAGTTCTCAGGAGGAGAGAGACAGACCAGCAGAGACGCTGCAAATCCTAGCAGCCTGGGGGGGGGGGCACTTCAGTTCTGGGGCTGGCTCTGGCTCAGAGATGAGCCTTCTGTCATCCTGACAGGTGATCTTGGTCAGCTTAGCTAGGTCCTTCCAAAGCCAGACAAGGCTACTCAACCCTCCGCTCTGCATCAGGGCAGTGTGGGTTTCCCATAGAGGAGGCACGACACACGGGAGCCGAGGCCCAGCCCCCACTCCAACCCCTGTGTCCTTCAGCACATTCTACAGACTCCCTCCCTTTGCCCTTCTGATTCACAGCGCCCACCTCCCTGCACCTACCCTATTCGATCTACAGGGGACCGGAGTCACTTCGTGGCCGCCAGCCCAGGAAGGGGCGCCAGCCAGCTGGCGAAAGCACGGCTTAGAGGGGGGTCTTGGGCAGAGAGGTTTGGGTTGGGCTGCTTGTGCAGTCAGCTTGAGTGAGTTGACTGGTAGCACAAAGAATGTATGCACGAGGGTTAGTAAAGGAGATCCTGTGGCTTTGGTCTTCTCTTTCCC